AGGCTTTAAAGCCTACATACTAGAAGGAAGAGAAGAAGAAGAAGAATTAGTGGTTAAAATTTCTAAATGTTTGACAAATAAAGAAAAGTAGAATAATTTATGTTTCTGCAATTCAACTGAAACCTTATATTTATTCTCTTGTAATACATTGATCAATGTAAATGATAAGACTATAATTTTCTTGCCGTTTTGAAGTATTAAAATCGCCTTATTTCAGAATGTGTTATTTCTGACATGCCTCCTTTTTTCCCTGTACCCTTCAAATCACATTCTCCCAGATCATTAGCATACAACAGTTCTTTACTTTATACTGACATTAAATTTCTACACCTTATAGCGTTATGAATTATTTTTGACCTTTATGTATATTTGCTGTCAAGTTAGGTCAGGAAATAACTGATACCAATTGGTTATTTGTGACCTAATCTAATAAAAAATCGATTTAGAAACTGCATCAAATCAGTTGAAACTTATCCAGGTGCTGACATTGGGTCTGATCACAATCCCATAGTAGCTATAACCCAATTAAAATTAAAAAAGGTGATCAAAAAGAAGCCTAGCAAAAATATTGATACAGCCCAATTACAAGACGAGAAAGACGAAAATTTAATTTAGGAAAATATAGCTGAAAACGTCCATGAAGGCTTAAATAAAATCGTAACAACAGTAAAAGAAATGTGTAAGAAATTTTACAAGGCAGGTCAAAGCTAACAGATGACATATTAGATTTGATGGAACAACGGGGACTAGCGAAAAACAAGGAAACACTTTACAACAGATACAAAAGAAATTCGACCTAAAATACGAGTCAACATCTAGCAAACAGTGTCATGACATTGAAGAACTTGAAAACAGATACGACACGTTTAACATGTATAAAAAAGTGAAAGAAGCGGCTGGTTATCTTCAATAAGAAACAAACTGCATTGCTACAGGATATAAATGGTAAAGTAATATTTGAAGAAAGGGACAAACTTAAGAACGGGAAAATTACGTCACGAACCTATTCGAAGACGATAGAAGTAGTTCACCTCCGATATTACTAACTTCGACGGACCCCTAATAACAGGGTCAGAGGTTTAAAAGCCATACAATTATCAAAGACGGCAGAGCGACTTTGCCTAATGAATTTCAACTGAAATATACCAAGTTATAAATGATAGCAATGTTTTAGAGGCTATAACTTCGTTTTTATCAATACTATTTATACCAGCGGACAACTGTTGCTGTACAATTCAGTAATTAATTATTATATGTATGTGGCAGCTGTAATGTGAGCGTAGCAAGTGAGTGAGAAGTTGGAATAAAGGAAGTAGCATAGAAAAGATAATAATTATTCGAGATAATTATTATATATTCCGAATCAAATAAGGGATAATTATTACAGTAAAATTTGCATTTTAAATCACACAAAGAAATTGACCTAGTTATTGCATTGTTTGATAATTGTTTAAACGTATAAAAAGCACGAAACTATTGTTGTAAAAAAATAACAACACCCGTGACCCAAATAGGAGCAATAACGCCAAACTACAATTCAGCAACCTTGGACTACAACCGGTCAATGAGGACAGCATTGATAAAAACCGAAATAATGGACGCCAGTGAGGCATTAGTGATACGGCGGTAGCCGTGAAGGCATCAATTGCCTGCTCCGGGTACTTTCGACGCGGTAGCGTCGGGTACGAAGTAGTTGGTAATGAGCGGTCCGTAGTAGCGGGGCAGCTGTGTCTGCCCAGGCAGTAATTGCCTCCGGGAGCGTCCAGTACGCGAGACAGTCGGTGATTCTCCGGGGGACGCGTATCATCTGGCATAGTATCGCGTGTAGTCCGGTTATTGTGGCAGCTCGAAAGTTCGCAACCCTCAACTGACCGAGTTCCAGAAGACTGAACGTGTCGTGGTTGAAAGCCCTAATACACATAAGGTAACAGATTTCTTTATACTAACCTGTGTAATTATATTAGTACAACTGTCAACTCTTCACTATCTTGCTTCATCGTCTCCCGACGCGCAGAATAACGTGTTAACGATTGTATTTGTAACTTCAGGGTAGATTCAATATATTGTTGACTCTAAATTAGTTTTTTTATGTTCCTTTCGTCCGACTCTCTAGAGACTAGGAGAACACGAGATTCTGCGTATGCATATCTCCGGCTTCAAAAGTAAGCCCATAACCTCTGCTCTTTACAGGACCTGAGACCTAGGAGTCCTTACCCCTATCCCGAAATCCCTTATCTTCTCGTAAATCCACGAAGACGAGCCAGCCCTCCAGACCAGTGTGACCAGTATTCCTTGCAGCCGCTCGCAGGGTTAGCATCCCTTGAGGATCTATTGTGTATTTCATTTGGTGACAGCGTTTTCCTTACCTTCACATAACGCTCCATATCTATTCATTTACAGTGGTGACCAGCGGACTACTAACCCTATTTATTATATTAGTTGTACTGTCAGCTCATCACTCTCTCGCTCTCTTCTGTTCATTTACAGGTCCCTATTCATAGAAGTTCCTACCCCCTAATCCTGAACTTCTCTCCACTTCTCGTAAATCTGTCCCAGGTTACCACACTGGTGACAGCGGTGGGATAACCGCTCACATTACACTAGCTACATTTTACATTGTTGATGTCTTATGACTTACTTGTCAATTGTCATTACAACTGTTACACTTTTACTTGTAAATAAATTTATTCTTTTCTTAATTAAATAATAATAGTGTTATTATTATCTGCGTAAACAACAACTACCTAATGGTTGGTCTAATTCACTGTTTATAGCTCTACTACAGAAGACAACACGAAAAACCTGTGTTGATTATAGAACCATCAGTTTGTTAAAATACTTATTGAACATTTTTCTGTAGGTATACATGGTCGTCTCTACAATACACATGCGACGAATCACCTGGATGACACTCAGTTTGGTTTCGTAACGGGTTTGGAACGAGAGAGGCACTGTTTGGAATGAACGTACTTGCTCAAATATCTGTAGACATACTGTTGAGATATATCTGTAGACATATACTGTTGTTTTATTGACTTCCAAGATGCATTTGATCGTGTTAAGCACTCTATATTGATCGAAGCTCTACAAGACATTGGCTTGGACGGCAGACATGTTCGAATAATTGCAAAATTATATTGGAATCAAACAACATCGATTTTAGTAGATGGTGTGAAATCACAGGCTCTCTCAATTAATTAAAAGAGGAGTACGGCAGGGATGTCTCTTGTCACCCCTGCTTTTCAACGTTACTCCGAAAGAATTTTCAGAAAAGCACTTTCTGAAAAACAAGAAGCAATACGTGTGAACGATGAAGTCTTCATAATTTGCGATATGCGGACGATACAGTACTCCTAGCTTCTAGTCAAGAAGACGCAAACACTATTGATAGTGTCGTTGAGAGTTGTAAGGAGGCAGGTCTGGATCTGAACATACGGAAAACCAAAAATACTCGTAATAAGTAAACAACAGCATATAAAACCGTCTATATATGTAAATAATACCAAACTGGAGCAAGTTATGTAACAGAGACCTAAAATTGGCATTGAAGATCCGCCTACTTCGCTGCTACGTGACACGGTCTTACTTTATGGTGTCGAGTCCTGGACTGTGAATAAAATCGACCTAAATCGCCTTGAGGCTTTCGAAATGTGGTGCTATAGAACAATTCTAAAAGTTTCCTGGGTGGAGAATATTCGAAACTCCACAATACTAGAACGTCTCAGCAAGACTACTGAGATCATAAAAAGCATCAAGCAGAGAAAACTGGAGTATTTCGGACATGTAATGAGGGATCCCAAATATAGGTTGCTACAAAATATGATGCAAGGAAAAATAGTGGCAAACGCAGTCCAGGACGACGAAGAATCTCATGGTTGAAGAACTTGCGCGATTGGTATGGTGTTGATACAAGCATGCTATTTAGGGTGGCAGTGAATAAAATTAAGATAGCTATGATGGTAACCAACGTTCTGAAAGGACATGGAACATGAAGAAGAAGAAGACCAGATAGTAGTATACAAACACCGCACAGATGTTATACAAAAAAAATGTATATTTCGTTGAGACTGAGACCACACCTCTATTGAATAGTTGTAAGAGGGGACTGTGATTATCATTTTTTGTTCTTCAATTATGGACGTAAAATATTTGTATAAATATGTACCTGATTTGTTACTTTTTGTAGGTACATATAAGCTTTTCAATATTTCTAGCTGGTAGCTTGTAACAGCTATTTAATATCATCAGATTATCAGATACTCAAACATATTTCCACCGACTTTAAAGTCAGCAAAAGTTGGAGACAATCCGTCTACAGTACCTACCTACCTTTTTTAATCCTATATTTCTTTGCTAACTTTCTATTATATCTCAAAATCATATGTGTATTTTGTATATGTGTACCTATGTGTATTCACTACAAAATCAATAATATGGAAAAGTAAATTTGTAAAGCTTTTCAATTAAATTTCTATTTCATTCAAAGTGTTTAGATATAAATCCTTATTCGCCTGAGTGGTGTTTATGGATAATATTTTTTATTAATATCCTTATCACAATTTGCCAGTAATTCGATTAATTATAAATCACCATAGACAAGCCTATTAATAAACATAAATATACACACATTTAATTAAAAATAGCTAACCATAAAATTAAACAAAGAACTTATGCAACCGTAAACCCAACCACGTGACCTTTTTGTACTGTAGATTATTAAAAAGCTTCCCTGCAAGTCTATATTTTAGTTGTATAAAGTTAAACGCAATCGAATATTCCTAAACTTAAAATGTTTCGATTAGTACCAGTAGAAAAAATAATAAAGAACTTCATTCAACTTGTAATTTCAGAAATTATGACAAGTGGAAGAAATAGGTTTTAGTATCGACATACGGAATCAGCCTCAGCTAGCGAGAGGGATAGAGACGGAATATAGCGACGGCGTCGTGACTTGACGTACAGCTGCTGTCCGTTTTAGTTCAGTTGCGCTTTGGCTAGCGCTTTGTGTAGACGTGGAGTGTAGAATTTCGCATTAAATACGCCAAATATTTACGTACAATTAGTAAAATACACGTGAAAATGTCGGTAAACGTGTCCCTAACTAAGAAGCAACCACCCAGGCAGCTGGTAAGTACGAAATACATTATTGCCGACGCCATAGTTGTAGATACAGAAATCACGTAAAGCATTTGTACACATTTTACTTGGTCGCCATACCTTGTGGATGGCTTTTATCTTTAGAAAAGCCCACTGGGATCTGCTGCGTGCAGTTGATCGAATGTTGTAAAGGCGTTTTCTTATTCTTGCAACTTTTTTATTATCGAGTGTGATATTAATAGGGCTGATGATCTAATAAATTCTAGTCAGATGTCATGTCATTGCATGGGGTGCTTGAACTGGTGCATCCAGTGGTTGGGTCGAAACCAGAAATAATGTTTTGTTTTATACAGGTAAAAGTCATCAGTACAAATATTACGATTGACTAGTATTTTACTTCTCAGTGAAACAATATAAAACAAACAGCGAAGAGCACATGTGTTATATAGATTTTGAAATCCTTAATAATTAAGAGACATCTGAAGCAAACAAGTTTATTACGAAAACAAAAACAATAGGTAAATGTTTTTGTTTATAAACCTCTGCACGGCATAATATATGTATATTATATAAATTAAATTATTATTTACAACAATAATTTGATGTTTTAAATATATATTTAATATACCTATTAAGTTTTTCCTTGATTTCACTATTTTTCTAAAAGTTCCAGTTTCCACTGCCTTGTTTGTTTTTCGTTCTGTTGTTGGTAGGGTTTTTAAATAGCCTTTCCCAATTTCGATTCATATTTTACGTCTTCTTCTGCGTTTTTGTCCAATAGATTTTCTATATACCTCCATTTTTGTTATTCTATTGTTTTCCAGTCTGTTTACGTGCCCCAACCAGCTTATTCTCTGCTTTTATGTATGTTTATATTTGAGATTTATTATTTATTTCTTCCATGTCTTTATTTGAATTTTTTTCTAGATCTTTCTGAAGTATTTGCACTTCCGTATCTAACTCTCAACATTTCTCCCATTTGTTGATCTAATTTCTTCCTGATTTTTTGTAAACGCCGTCTTTCGCTTCGTATATAGTGTCCCATAGATTATTGCTTTAATTTTTCCCAAAATATACTTTGATTTCGGTAACCCCCTTACCATTTTATATTTTCTTTTCCAATTCTAGCATTAATTTCTTCACCCTATATACCTATTTGTGATCTAGTTATGAAAATTCTCGCACTGTTTCAATTTTTACACTTTCCTTACCCTTATTTGCCCTTTTAAGTCCACCTCATATTGCTGCGTATGTCTCATTACCATCTAATTTGTCTTCTGTTGCTTTACATCCAGGCTGTTTGTGCTATAACTGTTTTCCGGATGTTTCCGAAACTTTTCCGGAAATGTAGTATAGGTAGTTATAATAAAGTGTAAAAAATATATACTCTATTTGGAATTATACTCTATTTGGAAATACATGATAGTTCAGTTTTTATGGCAAACGACAATTTTTTATACAGCAATGTTCAAATACTAAGGCCATATTGAGATGATCCTTTTTTATATGAAAGATCTTAAAATGTTCTAGTGCACTATTTGGTTGTAAGTTAATAAATTGTTTAAACAATATTTTTTTTCAAATATTTTTGGTTAAAATAAACGTAAAAGTTTTTTTTTTGAAATAGGGCATAACATAATTTGACCCTAACTACTGACTACATAATTTTTTAACATAAAGTGTAACACAAAGCAGCTATTTGGTATAAACTTTTTAAAAAATCTCAAAGTTCTGCTAAATGTAACTCTCTTGCTGTCCTTGTCGATAGCTTCTGGATTCTCGCCCACAGGTAGGTAAGAAATATACACCCTCTCGGGGGAGGGTCATAAATAATGTTGAATATCATTATTAGGGCTTATTAAAGAGTAATACCCAAATATTTTGCAGTATTTGAATATAGAATTTGATTATTTATATTTATTGGACAATACCCAAATATTTTGCAGTATTTGAAAATGGAATTTGATTATTTATATTTATTGGAATATTTATTTGAAGTTTTTGTTAGTAAAGTTTTACATAATATATGAAGTTTGTTTCGTCACTTGCTTGTCCATTCATATTAGTCCAGGGTAATAAGGATTTTCTCGTGACACTCAATAATCCAGGTAGCTGACAACTTTTTAGTTATTGTAGACCTATAAGAAGAAAACCTACCTGTTTCCTGCGTAAAGTTCGGAGCCGTTTTTAATGATTAAGAATTTAATGCAAAAAAAACGCGATTTTTTGCACTCCATTAGAAAGCTAAATACTTGCAATAAAATTAGAAAATTTTATTTTTTAGAATAATGACAAAGCTTCAAAATGCCGATTTTTGAAAGTTGAGAAAAGTCAATTTGTTGCTTCGCAAACTGCAAAATAAGTGACAATTGATATTTGTAAAAACTTTTAGTAAACTTAAACTTTAAACTTTAGAGTTCCACCCAAAGTTGGGTATTGGGTACTTAACAAACCCTCAAAATTTGGGACATATTAATGGGACATAGCAATACAGAAAATAATAAAGATAGTAATAACATAGAAATATGTATTAAAAAAAAATAAAAAAATGATTTATTATAGTCAAAAATCCTGATGCCAAATTTTTTAAATTATGTAGTTTTTAAACATTTAGAATAACTTTAAAAACATTGTCCTTAGAAAAAAATCTTTTTTACATTCGAAAAGCTAGTATTTTCACCCGAATTTTCAAACAAAAAAATTTGGCCTAGGTTAATTTGGGCCAAAGTTAGCCATGTTTTTTTGTTAATTCACAGCTAATTTGATTATAATAATTAAGAAACATCATTGACGCCATATTAAAGAATGGGATTTGTATTTTTTGTTAAAAAATTGGCACAAACATTCTACTGGACCCTCTACGAATTTTCAAAAATGTAGTTCAAATAGTGACTAGGAAGAACCTACAAATCCTTGGAGTTTAAATACCGAACAAACAATTTTAAACTAATAAAATTTTCTACATCTCCGGATCTACTCAATGGATTTTAATTTGTATGTAATGTCTACGTACATTACAAATATGCAATTTGTTTATATATTAATTAATTAATAAATAGTCTAGTTTGTTTAAATAATTCGTGAAAAAATAATTTTCTTCCAAAAATCTATTTTTTTAATACTAGTATCATTAATAATCATAGAAAAAATCGCGTTTTTTTGCATTAAATTGTTAGCAATTAAAAGACTGCTCTAATTCAAGGCAGAAAACAAGTAGGTTTTCTTCCTATAAGTCTACAATAACTAAAAAAATTGTCAGCAAGCTGGATTATTGAGTGTCACGAACATGGTCTATTTTTTGCTTATTTACCTGGAGTATATATTTAATTAACATTTGTGTAATTTCTCTGTCGGTTCCTCGCTGGTTTTGCATATTGTTATGATAGCAGTATCATCGGTAAATGTTGCAATTATTTATTTTCTAGGACAATAATATAACACGTATACAAAAGGTAAAGACACTTCTTTGTGGCAGCCCTGCTGTAATTTCTGTCAGTTCCGTGTATGTATCTTCCTGTTTAATTCTGAAATGTCTTTCCAAGATGCAGGATTCAATTATTTGAGAGTATCGTGTAAATGTAGTCTTAGGTTATAGTTATGACGTCTTTGCCATACTTTATCATATACCTGAGTCACATTCTAAATTATCTATCATATTATCCTTCATGATCCATGTTTCACATATAGTAATACAGTATATTTACATATAACAAATTAAATCCTTAGTTGTAAATTTTTGAAATAATTACTCAGTATACATCTAAGTTTCACAAATGCTCCTCATAAATCTCATAAGACATGGTGTAGTGTTTTACAAGGCTTGCTCCGCAAGCCTTACAAATGGTGTTAAAACATTAACTTCTGCACTGCTACCATTCAGCATACATAGACTCGCCACTGCTTCCTCTTTTTCAAACACTTTCGAAAGCAACAATTACTTTTTTATTCACACAATTTAATTTTCTTCTACCGTTCATATTCATATTTGAATGTTATCGAATATCGAAGATATACGAATCCGACGAGGAGTGCGACAAGGTTGCGTCTTATCACCGCTGCTATTTAACTGTATTCGGAATCTATATTCAGAAAAGCATTAGACGATGTTCAAGGTGGAATCAAGATTAATGGAATCGGCATAGACAACATCAGGTACCTGATGATTACCGTCCTAATAGCAAGCAAAGCACAATAACTAGAAAATATAATAAATGCGGCAGTTTGTCATAGCGAAATGTTCGGTGTACATCTTAATGTTTCCAAAACTAAAATTCTTGTATTTTCAAAAATACCAACAAACAACTTACATAAAATATTTGGAGCAAATATCAACAGCCAGTGTAACCCAAAAAAAGAAATCCTATCAAGAATCAACAAGCGTGGAAAACACTCATGAACATGAAAACATTTTTTACAAGATCAAACCTTAGTCTAGAGCTCAGAATTCGAATGATCAGCTGTTGCGTTTTCTCTGTTTTGCTGTATGGCTGTGAAAGTTGGACAATGGACTCTGAAACAGAAAAAAAATAGATGACTTTGAAGTGTATATATTCCAGACGGATGCTGCGAATTCCACGGATACAAAAAGTTACCAATGGTGAGGTACTTCGAAGCATAACTAAATAAAAAGAATTACTCAGCATAATCAAAGGAGAAAAATGCAATACTTGGGTCATGTGTTGAGAGGTGAAATATAGGAATTATTCCAAATCATATTGGAAAGTAAAGTGCAGGGCAAAATATCAATTGGAAGATGCCAGAACTCGTTACTGAAAGACCTGAGGAGATGGTTTGACCGCTCATCCACAGAGATCTTTCGTGCAGCAATTTCCACAATTCTATTTCTACATTGCCATTTGGATCGCCAACCTTGACAGGAGACGGCGCGTTAAGAAGTTCAAATTCACCGGCATGTTTTGGTTTTGTGACCAGGAACAGACTGTCTAACGGTTGGCACTTTCTTTCCTCAGTTAGCTTAGCTTCCTCCGTGGATGTGTTATTTGTTGATCTGGAAACTTCATGGTCTTTTA